CTAATAAAAGTTGTAAAATAGTAATAACATTGACTTCAATACTAATATATATGATAAGAAGTTTTCTTATCATTTAAAAATATACATATTTAGAATATWTAAAAACAAACAAATCTTAAATTGATATCTTATAAAATGCTATAAAAGAAAATTTGCCTGTTGAAAAAGCCAGGTCTTTAGAGCTTTTTTAGAATTTGATAGAGAAGAGCTACAAGATCTGACTTTCTTTTCAAAACAAGAGTAATATATAATTTTGAGTCCCATACACTGACTGTTAATTAGTCGTATATGTGTTAAAATCTCTTGCTTGGGTTGCCTGTGCTAAAAGGTGCATAATCGAGTAAAAAACTAACCTTTCTTCGTCAACATTTGTTCTGTCATCTTGTTTCATTCGCCTTTCTTTGATACCAACATTTGGTTTTGATGTCGACTTAGTGGCTGGATAGTAAGCAGATGTGGTATCATCTACAGTCAGAGTCCTCGGTGGTGTACTCATTCCTCCCATGAACATATTAGGTACAAATTCATCTTTCATTTCACGAGGAATTTCGTTTTTCGATGCCAAATACCCGCCTTGATCACCGTTGATTACTATGCGCTCAGGGACAGTCATTGCGTCTCCTGATCTTTGCTGTGACCTTGGTGGAGATTCCTCTTGTTCTTCAACTGTAATAGTCTTTGGCATAGACATGAGATCGGCCATTCCATCTTGATTATCAGTAAAACCTGAAAAATCTACTGCACCCGCCATTTTCTTTCCTTTCATGAGAAAGGCTTGGATCGAGTTTTACCGCTGGACATCATACTTGAGCCCGTCGGCTTATAGGACAGGAAGCCCAATGTTATCTCTCCTTCCGTAGGAAATGAACTTTAGAAGAATAGGACAAGGAATGACCGAGGAGTTGTGCGAATGTTTCGTCCCTAGCTGCTAAGAGGTCAGGCTCGTACATGCACAGATGAATCTCCTAATTAAAGTTAAACTTATCAATACGTGCTGGTAGTTACTTTTGATATCATGTTCATTATATTATGAATTCATTGCCAGTTAATTTTCACTTYCGCAGAGAGAAGGGAGAACGTATATTTGTCATATTCTTTATTGCTTGTTGAATTATTTACACAATGAATGAATTATTGTAACTTATAAATTTAAGTGTCTTTTACAACTTTTTAAAACAAGGATTCATTGATAAACTTGATCCAAATATCTTGAGCAAATGTGACATGGAAATATTTTGCYGATCACTGCGTGGTTTTATAATTTGATAGGAACGATTACTATTTGAGTAGGTTTCGAGGCTACATTGGTTTTATGAGGTAGAGAGTTCGCCCCGTGTAAGAGAATCCGGAATCCGGAATCCACTAAAAAAACAGCTTTGGAATCCGGAATGGGTATCCTGGAATCCGGAATCCAAATATTTGGAATCCATAATCTGGAATCCAGCAAAAATTTTGATATCTAAAAAACACATAGGACATCGTCCCGCTGACGCCCCTGCGCAGGCTACTGACATGCTGAATGTAAAATTTTCAGGAAAAAAAACCCCTGAAAATCAGGCCATTTATTATACAGAATCCAAAACAAAAATTCTTTGGAATCCGGAATCCAATGTTTCGGAATCCGGAATCCAGCGCTTGGAATCCGGAATCCGCTAGTTCTCTGGATTCTCTTACATGGGGCGAGAGAGTAACAACTAAACAATTTCCTGCTCTGTTTTTCGTAAAATATATCTATTACACCCAGTGCATCTTAGGCATGTAAAATGTTCTATATGTGATTGGTCGATGGAAAGCTGAGCCCAATCTCTCTCCTTGTCGCAGATAATGTAAACGCGTACGTCTTTCATCGAAGAGATTTGTTCGGACTGGGGCGAGGTCTATGACAGGACATTCAGTTTGATAACCTAACGACAAAATAATAAAACTTAAATAAATAGATAAATAAATATTAATAGATATCATAAATATTTATAGTTCTATCCTGATGACGTCTGTATTGGTGGGTGCGTTACTTACCTAATGMTTTTGGCCATAAATCTTTCTGACATTTTATCCATCGAAATACTATATCACTCATACTTTGTAAAGTGATTTCCTTCATATCTGATGACCACTCAATATCTGAAGAAAATTATAAATGCTACAATTATTGACATGCCCACAGAAAGCAAATGATACGGTATGTGTGTACAGCGCTAACTAGATCATACATGCACTTTTATGAGAATTTGAAGCAAAAATAAGTAAATGTATCCGTTGTGATCTGTGATTATTGTATTTCGAAGAGCAGTGACAAAAGCGAAGCTAGCAGCAGTTACAGTCAATGTTTTTAAAATTATCCTGCTTGCAGCCTGCAGGCACAGAAGACAGAGAGATTTTCAGAGAGAGTTCACT